GGTACAACTAGGTACATGCTCAGTACACAGTATTGCTCGGTACCGAGCAAGTATATACTCTGTACTGAGCGGTACATGCTCGATACTGCTAGGTACCAAGCCAGTATCGCTCGATACCGAGTAGTATATGCTCGGTACCGACCGATACATGCTCAGTATCGTTAGGTACATCATCAGTACCGCTCAATATCTTTCTATACAAATAATTTACGAACTTTAAAAACAAGCAGAATTTTAAAATTACTCTTACAATAAATACAGGTCAATCCCCGGATCATCTAGCCTGCACTCATGTCAATATGGAACCATGTACAAAAGTACCTGATGAGGTGAGAAAGGAATGTATAGATTATTTAAAGAAAATTTCCACCACAAAAGGAGGTCACACAAAGAAATATGGAAGAGATGATAGGAAACTCTTCTTACTATGGATCACAGCATGAAGGTTCCATTATTGGAAACCATCTAGTTTCTTCTGACCGAGGCAGTCGGGGGCCTATTGATAGATTTATGCTAAATATTGATAACTAGGAAAACATAAATACTCAGGATATTCAGCCTCCTACAGCTACAAAAGAACTCAGGAACTGAGTTTGTTTGGATATCGTCAGATTCATCTATGAAAATGGGATTCCATTTAATGTTGTTAGGAGTCCGTCATGAATCAATATGTTATGATATGTTGGAAGCTATGGAAGATGACTACAACTTCCAAGCATGTATCAGCTGAGGACTTGGATGCTGAATGAGGAGATTAAGACAACTTCAAAAATGGTGGATGATGTTAAGAAGACTTGGATTGAGACAATAGTGACAATAATGTCAGATGGTTGGTCAGATATTCGACCTAGAAGTATTATTAATTTCTTGGTCAACAATCCATATGGAACAACTTTTTTCAAATCAGTAGATGCTTCAAGCTTTGTAAAGGATGCACAATTATTGTTTGAAATGTTGGATGAAGTTGTGGAGGAAGTGGGAGATGCCGTAGTAGTACAGGTTGTTACTGATAATGCAAGTGCATACAAAGCTGTAGAGAGAATATTAATGGAGAAGAGGCCTCACCTTTATTGGACTCCTTGTGCTGCACATTTTATTAACTTGATGCTTGAGAGGTTGGGACAGTTGTCTCAATATAAATCAGCCATATTGATGGTCAAATTCGTTAGTAAGTTTATATACAATCATTCTTGGGTACTCAGCTTGATAAGAAAATTCACTGACAAGGAAATTATTAGACCTGCTGTTACAAGATTTGCTACTGCATATTTAACATTGCAGAGATTCAAGGAGTTAAGACAAACTTTGGAAGCAATGTTTGCTTCTGAAGAGTGGGATAAAAGTTCATGGGCCAAAAAATAAGAAGGAAAATAAGTTAAAAAGATTGTTATGAAAGATGATTCATTTTGGCGCAGTATAAATTATGCTTTGAAGACAACATGACCATTAATAAAGGTGCTTAGAATGGTTGATGGTGAGAGGACCCCGGCTATGTGATTTATTTATGAAGCAATGAATAGGGCTAAAGAAGACATTGCAAAAGAATTGGGAGGTCAAAAAAGTGTTTACAAAGAAATATGGGAGATTATAGATAAAAAATGAGATCGACAATTACACCAATACTTACATGCTGCTGCGTACTATTTAAATCCCCAATTTCATTATGATAAGGAATTTCATATTGATAAAGAGGTGAAAACTGATTTGTATGCATGTATGGACAGACTCATTTCTAAAGAAGACTACCTCAAAGTGAATGATCAACTTGAGGATTTTCATGTGAAGAAGGAAATGTTTGGATTTAGAGTAACACAACCATGCTACAAAACACGATCTCTTGGTATGTTTATAATTTGTATTTTTATAATTTTAATGTTAATATTTATGTTTAAGTCTTCTACTTCAACCAATATTCATAAAATACTATGTTTGTCTTCATGTAGAACGTTGGTGGGCTCAGTTTGGAGATGATGTTCCTGAATTGAAAGCTTTTGTAGTTAAAGTTCTTAGCCTAATATGTTTGGCTTCTGCAAGCGAGCGTAATTCGAGCATCTTCAATTAAATTCATACAAATAGAAGAAATCGATTGGCGGCAGATCGAATGAACAAACTAGTTTATGTTATGTTTAACAAAAAACTGAAAGATAGACATCTCAAATTGCAGAATCAAGGAAATATTCAGAATGAAATTGACCATTTGCTTGTTGATGAGTTATAATCTGATGATGAATGGGTTACTCCTAAGAATGCTGATGTTTCTTAAGTTGAAGCAGAAGGAGAAACTCATGTCAATGAAGAAGACAATGAAGCAACTACCCAAGCATATAAAAGAAAGAAATAAAGTGATATTGGAGTTTCAAAAAAATTCAAAAGTGTTCTTAATTATAATGAATTATTTTGTATGTTATTATTGTTTAATTTTAAAGCTAATAAAATATTAACTGATATAAGAGATAAAGGAAAAAATATTATAGATGAAGAAAAGTTTGAGGATGACTTTGACATTAATTATGAAGATTCTTTTGAAGACAATTAAAGTGATGATGAGCCTGCTTTGAGTCTTGATCCTAAGGGGATGTTTTATTTTTAAGTGAGTTTATTTTAAATCTTGTATTATAGTAATATTATCTTGAAACAATTTTATTTTGTATTAATGTTATTTTATTATTGGTAGTACAAATAATTGTTATTTTTGTTATTTTTTGTCATTATTTAAAATTTTAAATTAATTTATTTTAATCGTTTTGAGGCTTACGCCTCGATCCGCCTCTAGGCTTACGCCTCGCCTCGCTTAGAAAAAACGCCTCGATTCCCGATTTCGCCTTTTAAAACCTTGTATTGAACAACTGTCCGCAAGAAATGCACATAAATGTTGCATGCTATTTTCACTTGAATAATACTTAAATAGAAGGTCTGACAATTCTCAAGAATAACGTAATTGCTTATTTATGTTAACTCAAATATTACTACTCATAATATGAAAATAATACTTCCAGTAATTCACTGTAATGTGTCCAATGATAGCAAGCACGCTTTCATCATATCTTTGCATGCGCTTGTTATAAGGACTTCACCATTTTTTCAGGAGAAATAACGTCATTGTTGTGGTTGGGGTGGGGTGTGGTGGGGTGTCCATCGCTATAGAACGATAGTTTATCTGTACTTTTGAGCAGGCTTAAATGTGATGGGAAGGTAATATTAAAAGAAAATGATTAATACAGAGAGCTCATTGTGAACGAACATTTAGCATTTTAATAGCATGCTTCAATTACTAAACCTAATATTTATGATAATCATAATCATTAACAGATATATCACTTGAAGATTGGAAGGCCAGAGGCTCAAGATGGACCAAGTTCATTGAAAAGAATCAAGACGCAAACATTTAATCTGCTTCTAGAAGTCTTAACGACAAATACATAGAGACAATGATCGGGTGATCAAGCCACCTTGACCCTTCACGTATAAATATAGTTGGCAGCTTGTTAGAAAACAATAACAACAACATCAAGCCTTTATCTTACTACGTGGGGTAGCCTACATAAATATTTTTTCTCCATTGTGTTCTATAAAGAGTCAAATTCTCATTTAAATCTAATACAGAAATGTCAATACTTTCCAACCAAGTCCTTTTAGTATACCTCTACCTTTCTTAACATAGGACATATCTAATAAATCTACTCTCCTAACCAGGTCTACCTCTAACTTTCTTAGTATATGATAGATCTAATGCATCTACTCTCCTAACAAGGTCGATGTTTTATGTGGCCAATCTAAGATGACTTTCTAATCTTATTTGTCACTAGAACTACTCCAACCTTTTCATGTATAAACTCATTTAGCTTGTTAGTAAACTAAGGCCAAAAAGAATACGAAATATAAGCCATAACAAAGATCCAAATCTCAACGAAAAATCTCAGTTTACTAGGAGCTAAGAGGTCAGTTGGTATCATTGGCGATCATTGGGCTCAAAAGATCCAAACAATAAGGTCCAAAAGAGATGTGCTTTTGCCTTCCCCATCTTAATAGGAAAGATGGCTGTTTAGTTAACTGAGGGGCATGGATATTGCACAAGTACTTGTAGAGACTACCCATGAAATAACTTCAGATATGAATTCAAACATTTTTTGGATAAGTCCGTAATTGATTGAGTTATGATAGAGTGAACCTCAACCCGAATGCTATCCAAATAACTTTCGGATTGGATCATATTAAACATCTTAAAATTTGGGTCAGCCCCAATCCGATCCATGACCCATGCCAGATATGGGTTTAGGTTGACACAAAAACACTTGGAACTCATAGGACAAGGATAAAGTGGATATGCTGTTTGCGAATGTGGTTAAAATCTTAAAGTAGATTGAGATCCTAATGATCTCAGCGATAATAATCCTTTTAAGGTTAACATCATTTTCTTGATTTTATGAAGAAATGAACCCAAAGTTCTATGAATCAATAATTCACTGACATACATATCAATGCATATGATAACTCGCCAGTCACCACCAACAAGAACTAATACAACAAATATTCACAGCAGAAAGTTCCACAGGAATGAGCATAAAATTAGCTCTAGACGGGGATATAATTGGCAAAAGTACAAGATTATATAACAGAAACTGAAGCTTTTTACAATAAGTTCATACAACCATGGCCCATATGTGAGAGACATTTTAAAACAACTATGTACCACCTCCCCCTTCTGCCGGTGTAAGTCCCTCCCATCATCTTAAGTGTATGCAAAGTTCCATTGAGTTAAGGAGACATGGGTCATGAGGAAATAAAAGAAAAATGAAAAAAGAAATGCAACCCTCAGAAACAGTCCTATGCCAACTATTTGGGCTTGCCATTTTAAATCCTTAAAACAACTTGATGAAAACCAAAAAAAAAAAAAAAACGTAAACCCTCCAAAACAGATCGTAGCAATCATATTTATCCCTATAAATATCTTTTGCTGATATTATTTTCCACGGAAAGAAATTTTATAGATAGAAACTTACGTTAGTGACTTTCCCTTGAAAATGATAGGGGGAGCAACAGCAGAAAAAACGCAGAATACGATGTGAAGCTGTATGAGAAAAGAAAGGGTCAAAATATTGAGTAGGAAAAAAAAAAAAAACAAAGCTGCCTGATCATGAAGCACAGAAAGTACGCAAACAAAACTCAGATACATACCATGTAAAATAGGAAAAACCATCCAAACTTCAGAGCACTGTCAGTTCTGGAACATTGTAAAAATAGATATTAAGAGAACTGGTATTGAAGAATGGAACACAATATGCAAATGTCATCAGCAAGCTCTTATTATTAAAAACATTCCAAGAGAGTTGATCTCATGAGAACAATCCCGATTAAAGCAGCGATAAATTTTTTTTTTTTTTTGGATTTCAAAATTTAGACAAGAATGTTCATTTAGAATTTAAGAAAGGATCAATGCAAATTCAAGTAGCTATTTTTTAGAGTCAAAGGAATATTGGGGAGCATTAGTCCAAATTATCTTATGTAGGCTTCAGAATTTTGAAATTGAAATTTATTATTTGAGAAATTAATATTATTAGAAATTTAGCATTTACATTTCATCAACATAAGATTGAGAAAATGCCAATGAGATTAGGAATTATGATATAACAAATCAGCCTCAAATATTAAAGCTAACATGAGCAATATAGATATTAAAACCAAGAAAGAAAGAAAAGACCACAGAAAGGCAGCAGGAGCCAAAAAATTGGAGGCTGACATATCTTACCTCATGGCATTATAAAGAGGGCGATACCATAGTACATAAGCTCCAGGGACCCCCGAAATAAAGTAGATAATGGCAAGCAACCAAATTTTCACGTCTAAGGGACAAGTAAATGTCATTTAAAAGGCTTTCTCAAGCGGTAAAAAAATATTACTGTACCACACTTACTTTCAACCTTGATCCAAGCAGCTGTAACGGCTATGAAATTCCAAAACAGACATGCTGTCAATCCTGTATAACAAATAAGTGGGAAACGGGAAGAGACTTCAGCAATGCATGCCTTTCAGAAGAAGATGGAGGCATCAAGGCATTTCAGAGTACTCAAATCCAAAGCAAATTTTTGGCACCTTACATACAAGCAAGAGGAATGGTCCTTGGCGCGATGAAGGTAGCGAATCTTGATGTAGTAGAAAAATAGAGTAGAAAATACCTCTATATTTCGAAACTAAGATGCAAACTTGCTCTTACACGATGTAGGAAAAATGATATTCACTTTTTTTATTACTTAGAGAAATAGTAACGTCACATATTATACACGGAGGTGAGCTACACTTGGAAATATTTTATCCTCTAATCAACCCTTGTACATCTGGAAGTTCAACATTTAAAGTTTCCAATGACATTCCAAATTTAGCTATTCTAAGACGGGAAAGTTTATTTACAATTTTTTTCTTTCCAACTAAATGTCATAATTTTATGAAACATCCATCAAAACATTTTTCCTGCCACACTTAATGATTTATAACTCCCTTGTCACCCCAACACCAGAATTCAAGCAACATACCCAGTCTTATGTTGTATGCAAAACTAAATAAATTGATCAAGCACCTAAACTAAAGCAGCGTGCCCAGAATAATATATATATATATATATATATATATATATAATTCTTCCAATGTTGTTTTTATATCCATTAAAAGGCAATTTAAAAAGTGGGAACAGTATCTAACCTTCTTGAAATAAGCCTATCATCATACAAGCATTTCTTTTACAAACCATGATGAGTGCAATGGTCAAGGAAAACTACAAATTGAATCAAATATATCAAGGAAGGTATCCTAAAAAATTCAGGTAAACTGGATGAAATAATAACTTACAAAAAGTTCACCTAAAAATCACTAGTCAATGATTGAGTGAATTGACATAGACATAACGTGAGATTTCTCTACATTGGTAACCTAAGCACATGTAGTGAATGGATGCAGAATACATGAACCTAAATGAAGAATACCTAACAAGGAAGCAAATGCCAGGTATTGCATTCTTTGAACGTGAACAGGTATTTCTTTTGCGATGTCATGATGGATAATGGGAAAAAATGGTGGCCAATTCTTCTCTTCAAGTACCACTCCAGCTGCACGCAATAACAGTTATCCGGTTATAATATAAATAAAGATTACTATTTAGCAGCTTTTAATTTACTAGCATGAATCACAAATTTTAAGAATTCACTAATAAATTACCCCGAGCCGCAGCATCTTCCTTTCGTTTTACTTCCTGTTCAATCACGAGAGAAAGGAACATCAACATGAGTTTCACAATGAAACACTAAAATTGATTATCAGGTATTCAAACATTGCAAAAGCATGAAATAAAGTGGTCGTACAGAACATATGTTTGTTCTTATTTCAGACAAAATAACAAACAAAACATCAAAAGACAGCCATTTTCAACATGCATCTACCTTCCCGTTAAATGGAACCCCTAACAGGACAAAAAAATGGTAAAAATTTCAGTGTTATATGGTTAAATGTTATGGGCATCCATTCAGACAGCATAATCACCTTCATGCCACAGAACATGAAGACTAGATAATACAGAATTTGATGAAGCAGCAGCGACTTGGATGCACATGCTGTGAAGTTCTTGTTTATATTCATTGGAAATTCAACATGATTGAATTTTTGCAATTCAAACAGATTTTATATGTTTCCAACCAAAAGGGAACTGACTAATCAATTTTCTTAGAAAAATAGAGCAAAACAGATAAACCTAACGAACTTGCAACAAAACCACCAAGCTTCAGAAAAACAAAAGGTTCTTTAAGCCGTTTGACAAGAAGACTAATAAATTTATATATGATGAAACACCACAGCAGGTCATCAACTGGGGTATCACAGCAGATTACCAGAGGATTGGATATTCTCATCTTTCACTAAAGCTTTGAACCAGCAAATGGAGGGAACCAGCGTTGGGTCCCCCCTTTCATTCAAGAGTAGCTTATTCGAACATATATCCAAAAAAAAGGGATTGATAGCGTCGTTATAGGCTAAGAAAGGAGTCATCGTCTAGCTTAGTTTACAGGCTTGCCAATAGACTTGCTTGTCCCGCCTCTTGTCTACTGAAGATACGGGACTAGCTAATAAACTATACTGAAGTAAAAAACCTTAATAGAATCACTATAGTTTTGTAGCACATGTGTACAATGATAGGCACCATAAAAATTAAATTTTGAACTAAAAATAGGAATAGGAGTAAAAAGAGGACAGGAAACATAAATGGAATGGAATTGACTAATCAGATAGACAGATACCAGCTGAGATATAAATTCATATATGGATATCCTAGGTAAAAATCAAGGGTAATCAATATTTTTTTGAATTAAAGTTAAATTGGAAGCCTGCATTGCTAAGGTCTAATTAACTGAAGCAAAAATTGCATTTCATAATGAATAAATTCAAAACCTATGGTTGGCAGATCCTTTCCAGAATGCATTAAGGCAAGAAATATCAAGGAAATAGGCGTGTCCTCATTACTCAACGCCTCAAAACATGTTTCAATGGCTACAACTAGTTCCATCAATTCCGAAAGATGCATGGAAGTTTTTGCACGAGTAATGAGCATATAAGTAAGTCTTTATCGCATGAACGTAAAAGGGAATGTAACACTAGATTAGTAATGATCAGCATTTCCTTTTCAAATTATCGCTAAGCAAAAGTATTAAAAGTTGTTGCATCATTGTGTAATATTAGGGTATAGAAATCTTTCGTGCCAAACATTTGCTGCATTTGATTGCAGCACACTAAAGCATGAAAAAATCATTATAAATAAGGCAATCATTTAAAATTCCTTCAAGTTCGTCATGATTTAGAAGTTGAATCTAGTTAAATCAAGTTAGATACTCTATGGCAACAATTCCAGCATACAAGGATGACGTGGAAGTAGTAGTCCAATACTGGAAAGTAGAAAAAGGAACAAACCTCAGAAAATGGTGTACAGCATAACAAATAACATATGATGAGCATAAAAACTTCCAAGAAGCTGTTACCTGTTCCCTCTTCCTCAAGTCTGCTTCCTTGGCTTGAAGTTCTTTCTCTTTCTTTCTTAAATCCTACATTAATACAAGCACGGGTAAGTATAAATGTTTCTTCCTAACCCTTACATGGGTTGCTTTTTTTATCTTCATTATTTCTTCATTTTTTTCACAAGTTTATATTCTTGAGATTTGAACAATGATTGACGAAGTGTACATTAGAGGTGTTTAGTCATACAAGCTGAGGTGTTTAGTCTTACAAACTGGGGTGTTTCATGGACATAGGGATCGTTTATTAATTCTTAGTCTCCAATGTGTATTGAGAAATCAAGTTTTATAAGGAGAAGTCTTGTTTGTGGATTTAGTTGTCACTGTCAGTGGACCGTGTCAAAGCATCCTCACGACAAATGATCTTGACTGCATATCTTCAAGGATCTTGATTTTAAAAACACAGAAGAAAAGCAAGTTTTCATTTAACTTGTTATTGAAGACTTTTTATAATTAGAATCATTCCTTACCTTAGTCGAATCAAGGGGTATATCAACTGTTGCACCACGATCATTGAAAAAACCAGCCGATTCCGGGGTAAGAGATGGTCTAGAATTAGATGCAGGGGGAAAAGTACTTCCATTCTGGAATATCAGGCAAAATGGTAAATGTATAAGATGAGAAAGAAATCGATATAACTTACAGAAAATAGAAAATTCCAACATCAAATATGGCATAAAATACATCTAAGACCAAGCAAAGCATTTTTCCTTCAGTAAACAGAGTTATATGAATAGAGTAAACTGATAGTGCTTGACGAAAGAAAGAAAAAAAAAAAAAAAAAAATATGTTGTAGAAAAAAAAAAAAAAAAAAAAAAAAAAAAAAAAAAAAACAATGAACAAAAGTACAACTATGTGGGCATCATTTCAAGGCTTATAGCATATAACTGTCTTAAATGCATAAATTCAATTATAGAAGCAATTGAATGCAAGTAGGGCTACATCTTGAAATTTGCAACAACCTACAACAACAATAACAACATCAAGTCTTTATTCCATTATTTGGTGTCAGTTGCATGAATTACTTATCTACATTGTGTCATATTAAGAGTCAAATCTCATTTAAATCTAAAAAGAAAAGGTCATTTCTAATACTTTCTAATCAAATCATTTCAGATCTATCTCTAAGTTTCTTAATATTGGTCAGATCATATCTACTCTCCTAATCGGGTCATCGGAAGGCAGCGTTTTATGTGACCAAACATCTAAGGCAACTCTCTCGAATACACCACTAGTGAAACTTCAACCTTTTCATGTATATACTTGTTTCGTATTTTGTCTCTAAGAGTAAAGTCACTCATTTCACCAAAGCATCCTCATCTCTACAACACTTAACTTAATTTTATGCTTCTCTTTTAATGGCTAACATTCAGCTCCATAAAGCATTATAGGTCTCACCACCATATTATAGAATTTTCCCTTAGGTTTGAGGGGTACTTTTCTATCACACAATAGGCCTAATGCATTCCTCCGCTTCAACCATCAAACTTGAATTCTACTAATAATATTGCCAACTATTTCACTATCACTTTTAACTATAGACCTGATATATCTAAAACATATATTCTTTTTAATGGCTTGATCACCCAAAGTCACAAACCCTCACTAAATCTAATACTACTAAAATTACACTCCATGTAATCGGTTTTAGATCTACTCAAATGAAAACCTTTAGACTCTAAGGTTGACCTCCATAATTCAAGTTTTCCTGCAACTCCCTCTCTAGGCTTATCAACAAGAAGAATATCATCAACAAAAAGCATACACCATGGTACATCCTCTTGCAAATGTCTAGTAATAACATCCATGACTAAATCAACAAGATAACGGCTTAAAGCTGATCCTTGATGTAATCCCATTGAAATAGGAAAATACTTTGGTCAAACCACCATGAATTTTGAACACAAGTAACAACTCTTGCACACTCTTGTGCATCATCTTTATTCTTAAATTACTCTCTCACATAGCTTTTTATATGGCACATTAACTTAATTCATATATAATTCACACACACTTGTGCATCATGTTTATTATTGAATTAAGGAACTAACACGCTCCTTCTACATAAATCTAGCATCTTTTTAGTCTTCAAAATAATATTAAAAAAAATTAGTAAGCCAAAAAAATTCATTCATCTCATAAGCATTTCCACACCTCTATTGGAATATCATTAGGTCCAATAGCTTCTCCACACTTCATTCCCTTTACACCCTCTCTAACTTCAGTTTTACTAATACGATGATAAAAATAAATCTCTATTTTCAATTAAAGTGCTAAGCTCACTAAAGTCAATCATATTCTCATAATCTTCATTGAAAAGTTTATCGAAATATCTCATTCACCAATGTTGAATATCCTCTTCTAATAAAAATATTTTTTGATCTTGATCCTCAATATATTTCACTTGAACTAGATCCTTACTTCTCATATCTCTTTATTTGGATAACTTATATGTGCATCATTCGCTCTTTTTAATATCTAATATATTATATAAATCATTAAAAATTAAATTATTTGCATCACATATTATTTTTTCAAACTTCGTACAGACCCCTCAATATCTTTCCCAATTTTTCACATCATAACCCCTCAATTATTTGCATCACAAAGCTTCTTATTATTTATCTTTTCTTGCACAATCTGATTCCACCACCAAATAGTTATACTTTTTTGAGATTTTTCTTTTGATACTTCAAACACATACTTTACAGATTGCAACATTTTTAATATTACTGACTATTTTTTCCTACTTAACATTAGCTTCCTCAAGCATAGTCAAAATTTTAAGATCTTGAATCTTACTTCTAAAAATATTTTTGTTAACAATTTTTAAATACCCCCATCTAATCCTAGGACAACATTTTATTTTATTTTTCATATTCCACCATTTCATCTTAAAGTCCAAAACTAATAAGCGATGTTGGGTACATAAACTTTCACTCAGAATGATTTTATAATTTTTACAATCTAAATGATTTATTTCTTATAAGAAAATAATCAATCTGAGTTTTATTATATATAATCTTATAAGTGATAATATGTTACTCTCTTTTCTTAAATAAGATATTAGCAATTATAAAATTATAAGCTAGAGCAAAATCTAATATAGCCCTACTACCTTCATTAATTATTTCAACCTCATAACCACCACCACTGTGTATGCAACTGGAATGCACTTCATACAAGTATAAATTTCTACACTTGACAATAGGCAATGTATAAGACAAAACATACAATCGTTCATTTGATGATGGTTAATTCATCATAAGACATATGATGACGAAAAGTTCAAATTTAATATGCAGGCAACATGCTTTGTTTATAGGGACCCCAAATTGAAAAGGGTTGATTAGCAACATGCTATACTTCAAAGTAAAATTGCCACAAAATGCAGAAATAAATTTGCTTCATCATCTGAGAGCGTGTGAATCTAAAAGTATAAATTTTCCTGTAAAGAACTGATTTCAAAGGAGAAGTTACAGCCACTACTACACTAAAATACAAGTGTATTCTTCATGTGATCATTAAATTAATAGCTTAAAATACAAACTCTTGCACCAACTTGAAATTGACCAACATAATGGTTCTATTTAACTAAATATCATCATCAATAACAACATTATCATTATTATTAAAGAAAAAGTCCAAAATAATCCCTCAACTATCTGCATGTAGCCAATTTAATCCCAGAGTGTTGCATCTGTCTAATTTAATCCCTCTATTATATAAAATTGATCTCATATAGTCCCTCACGAACTAAATTGGGATCAATTTTGTATGGTTGAGTGACTAAATTGGGATCAAGTTTATATCCCAAATTCCATCAATTTCCACCTGAGGGATATTTGGGATTATTTTTCTTTACTCAATTGACTAAATTTGATAAATGTGATACTTTGAGACTAGATTAGCATATATGAATAGTTGGAGGACTATTTAATGCATTTTCACTTATTATTAGCCTTATTCTCAATATTTGGGGGTGAACTTTACAAATCCTCAATCGTCCTTCATCCAAGTTGAGCATTGCAAAAGTTGTTAAACATATTATGCATAAATCTTTTAGCTCAATCTTTATTGAAGTTGCCTTATTTCTAGTCATTTTTCTTCCTAATAATTTAAATTAATGTTATCGATACACCTTATAAGTACATCTTTTATCTTTCATTGGATGCTCAAAACACCTGTCTATTTTTATTATTTTTAATAAGATGACACTCATATCATCTATCTAACATAGGTGTTCCCAAAGTAATCATTCCTAATTTTCTCATAGATTCATCTTAACATGCTCATTTTTGTCGTGCTAATCTTGACAATCAATGAATTCTTTTCTGCCCAACACTCATTAATAAATTTAGCTAACACAATTAAAACTTAATAAAATTTACTTTGTCTCCAAGCTATCATTTTATCACAAAGTATTCCTTAGGCACTTCTCCATTAAATCCATTTTAATCACTCAACTTTCAACCATGAAGTTATATCTCCATAGGTATCCTAATTCTTCTATATAATAGACCCAATATACTTAAACCAATCATATTTGGATTCAATAATATTTGTACCCCACTAAATTTGCAAATCATATGCATAATATTTTTTCTAGTAAACTTAAATCCTTAATCTTCTAAATATTTATTCAAATTTTCTTCCGTTCCCCTTTTTTCAACAAAAGTCCCACTGATCAAAATTATGGCATATGCAAAAGATATAGAACAATGTATCTCACTTTGAATATCCTTTGTAAACATCGCTGCAATATAAAAAGACAGACTTGATGTTGATCATTGATGTAAACCATACATGATTGGGAATTATTTAATTACTCCATAACAACTTACAAAACTAGTTAATGCTCCACTATGCACATCTTTAATAACTTCAACATAACTTGGACTCAAACCTTTATTCTAATATGCAGTAAATCAATTCTCCAAATAATTTGATCATGTTTTTGCAAAATTAAGAAAAATCATACGAAGATCCATTTTTTACTCTTTACACCTAATTTTCACAGCACAAAACCATACCCGCAATGAATCTTCTTGCTATAAAACCAAATTGATTATCTAATATTGATATAATTTTTTTTAAGTCTATGTTCCATTACACTCTTTCATAGCGGATTGTGTAACTTGAAAGTTTGATTCCCAAATAATTAACACAATCCCAAACATCTCATATGTGAACAATATTGCCAAAAAATACTTCTCTGATAATTTGATTTTTTCTTAATCCTCAAAAGTTGAATGAAAATATTTGTTGGCCTTGTTGCTCCAATATCACTCATAACTTTTCCAATCTTAATAGATACTTATCTGGGACTAAAGTTTATCTTTTATGCATCTTTTTCATAACTAGCTCCATCTCACTCTTTTATATCAATCCGTAAAACACTTCATTATTCGGCTCATTAGCTTGTTGAAAAATATTTATCCCAATGACACTTATATATTCAAAGAAGTATTGCCATTATTGATTGATGCATTCATCTTTAACTAACACATTAATGCATTACTCTCAATGCACCAAGCTTGATCAAAAGCTTTAGAACTTCTATCTCTTGCCTTACAAAATTTATATGCCTTTTTTTTTCCTTCGTGCCTAACCTATTAAGCAAAACAGAAAAACCTATAGCAGTTTCTATGAAACAAAAAAAAAAATCAAGTTTCATGGTTCCGATCATGCTGCTTTAGCATTTCAACTCATTAAGAAAACACAAGCCTACACCTACGTCTTGGAAGAAATGCATGCAAGAGTTTTATTGGGCCGCTATTTGAACAGCAATATCTCAAACATTAAGAAATTTTGAGAGATCTAAATATAGCATAAGCGAACAACATAATTCCCCTTCAATATCACAGACAGAATCTGATGCTAAACTAATAATACATAGAGCGACAGGAAATTAACCAGATTATAAAATCATAAGCATCAGAACACATGGTAAAATAACCCTATTAGACGTAAGCTGATCTGGATCCATTCTTTACTCATATAAACATCCTTCCCCTTGCAATCAAATCAAAACACAGCCTCACTCCGTTTCACAGGGGAATCTTACGTTTAGCTGAAGACGACCCCGGAAATTCTACGAAACCTATGAAGAAGACGAGTAAATGAAAAAAAACATCTCATTAAGGACATATTCAATCCCCTGTAACTATGATCCACAAAAAATTCAATTTACTGTCATTATTCTGTAAATAACAGACAAAAAAAAATACCACAAAGTCCCTGATTTCGTGCCTCTACCTCTCAAATCAGTAAAACCCAACTCCGAATCCAACGGAACCAATCAGCATCAATCAAGCAGACCAATACGAAGACTATCACATAGATATTAAGATCAACAAATTCTCCACATTAATTAGAATCCACGGCATCAGCTAGTTGATTCTCGAACAAAATAACAACGGGATATTCGATTAGAAAAGTTTGTAAGCCAGTAACTTAGATTTGAACTCACCGCGAAGGGATTAACCTCCTCTTCCTCGAAGGGATTGGGATCGTAGCGCCCGGCCATGAAATTGAAAGAGAGAGGGGAGAAAAAAAATTTTGGCAGAAAGTGAAGAGGGGAAGAAGAGGAAGAGGAGAATCCTCAAACCAGAGCAGCGAAAAAATAACGTGGACTTGGAACTGATTTACCTTCGCGCACAAGGCCCGTCAGAAATTATATTGTAAAATAAAACAGCTCGTTTTCTTTGACGCTTTTGACATATCTACCCCATTCAAATCTCAGATTTACATAGAATGCCAATTCTTTATCACTAAAAAAAATTATTATATACTGGTTTACTATTTTGTTAAATATCATCTAACAGCTCAATATTTTACCAAAAGGAGTAAGAGTGCTGTTTTTTTTTTTTAAATTAAGGGCTGTTTGATTCACTAAAAAAAGAATGCAGTCTAACGGTAAAAAATTATAAAAAGAATATTTTGAGTTATTTGGATGAATATAAAGCAAATACAAGTGAATGATTTTTTTATTTGATTTGAAGTAATGAATGTAATATAAAGTCAAAAAATAGTAGTGGCCGGTGGAGGAGGCGGCAATGGTGATGATGTTTGGCGGCGGTTGGAGGCACCAGGTGATGGTGCTATTGGTCAGCGGGGATGGTGGTAGTGGTAGTGATCGATGCCGATGATGGCCTCGCAGACGGTGCCAGTGGCTAGTGGAGGATGACGGTGGTGGTAGTCGGCGATTAAAGACGGGTGGCGGCAACAAGAGACGATTGCGATGGCGACCTGTGGTGGCCAGCGATTGTGGCTGATGATAAATGGCTAGTTGCAATTTTTTGTTATATTTTTATTTAAATTAGTTATGAAAATATATAGTTTAAATAATTTTAATTTAAAATTAATCTTGATGAGCATGACAACAATTTTTTTTCATTACATAAAATATATCTTATTATAATTAAATAATAATAATAATAAAATTAAAGCTAAAATGAAAAAGCTTGAGGGTATTTTTTAAAGTTAAAATTTTGTGCCCCCGCAGATAAAAAATTCTGGCTTCGCCATTGTCACTATTGGTCTACTAATCAAGAGGTATTTGGTTCGAATCTTATGTATGTGATGTGTGTGCGAGTTTACATTAATTGACTTAAATGTTCTAAAAAAACCAAACATCAATTTGTCAAAACCCCTGTATTTGAAATACTTTACATCTTAAAATATTCCAACCAAACATCCACAAATACCAAAAGTATATGTATTTAGAAAAATATCACTTAAAGGTGCAATTCATATTCACAGGTCGGGATCAAGTTTAATAAATATTGTTGCGTACTGGAATATTCGCGGTGGTAGAGAAACATAAAATTTAATGTCTTAGTTTTGTAAGAAGATCCAAAACACAAGTAGATAAAAGAGAGGGTGTTGCATTCATAATAGACACCAGAGTTTTTGCGTGAAAACCCCTAAAAAGAGGGAAAAATCACGAGCCTGACCCAATTTGAATGAATCCACTATTATTTACATTCGATTAGAAATGATGCCCTTCATTAAAGGGAAGGCATTGACTTGATATAATAGATATACATCATATAGAATGCATTACATGGTACAAATTGGAAGAATCAATATTGATATATTCGTTTAGTCGGCAGGATCATAGTCGGCGAGCAACGGAGGTTGGGAAGACCGTAGTCCAGTGACGGTGGTCGAAATGACCATTGTGAGGCGAGGGAGGTCGTAAGGATCGTAGTCAGTGAGAGATAGGGGTCAGAAAGACCGTTGTTTAGCGATCGCGATCGAAAGGACCGTAGTAGGCAACGGAGGTCAGAACTCTGGGTGTCGGGTGGTGGTCCGGCAGAACTCCGGGTGGTGATCGAGGAGGAGCGAAGAGTTAAGAGCGATCTCCAATCTCTCTCTTGATTCCTTGATTAAGGTTCATTTTTAAGAGGAATGAGGGGTCTATTTATAAATTTCCTAGAGTGGCATGGACCGTAAATAGAAGGATGGTCAAGGACAAATGGGGAGTGATTTGGATTGAAGATCGATGTTGAATCCCTTGATCATGGAAAGTTTGCTAGACATTTGAAGGTCTTAATGATGTCAGAATTTCATGATCTTGAGCTCGTTGGATTCAACTCATCGAGTCGCTCGATTCAACTATAAGAATTCCATATTTGGAAACCGTTTGGTGATCCAAATTGAGTTTCGAACATTCCAATATCGCTTCGGGCCCTATATTTGGACCCATTTGGGTTCAAATTGAGTCAAATTTAGTGTCGTTGGGTTTGTATTTTTTGAGACGTTCAGTTCGACTATAAGTTTGCTGAAGTCAAAGTTCAGATGGTCCCAATTTTAATTTCAAAAGTTTCTAACTTGATTATGCCTCGAGATTCGTGCCCGATCAAGATTATTTTTGATGATGTATCAAATAATATATAATTAATATGAATCTGAATATCTGATCCATTTATAAAATATGTCAAATATCTCAACTAAATTCCGAGTAGACAAATAAATCCGACTAACACAACACAATAAAATATTTAAGTCATGATTGGCTAGTGTTAACATAACCTGAGATGAACACAATTACCCAAATTGGACACGATTACCCCATATTATAGTATGTGTTTTTCATTAAAATAAATAAATATTTGCTACTATGTTTTTATCGACCAAAATTTAACTTAATATGACATGATTTTCATATAATTATTACATTCTAACATATTGATAAGTAAAATGAACTGATCAATAATTTTTGTTTGATTTTAGTTATCAATTCTACCAAGAATTAGATGGTTATTAAAAGAAACAAACATAGGAGAGATAAAGAGAGGAAACAAATGGTTTTGAGAATTGAATGAATTATGTTAGGATATTCTCTTATAAATTAGATCAACATGAGCCTAAAAATTATAAACTTATTTTGAAATTATTGAAATATAAATTCTTTATATATAATATTTATTTTAAAATAAATTAATTAGTATTAAAGTATTATGCATGATATGATTTATATTAAATAATCTTATATAAATTTACTTAAACTTTTTGTTAATAGGAGATCATATTAGTGGTTAAAAATCACCTTAAATAAGTTGTAATTCTGGCAAACTTTTAGAGAAAATATTCATAACTGAGTTGTCTTTCTCAATTTTTTGAACTTTTGCGTCAATTGAAGCAAATTCATACTCGCATCACATACTTGAACTTCGAATTGAATGCTTCTTGGTTGATAATCAAAACTCCAACCAACAGATCAAGATGATCAAATGTGTCTTTCTCCATATTTCAAAGCACAAACTAGAAGTTTCAATTGAACTTGTTGTTGGAAATCATAAAGGAGTACATTTTTACCCTCTTTCTCTCTCTCTCTCTCTCTATCAGCTAGATTACCTTAGTTTGTTAGTTGGGAGCATTGACTATAAACCAAAAGGTATAGGATTCGAAGCTTAATTGCGTATATGATGTGTGTGTGTAAGTATGCCTTAACGACTCAAATATCCTAAATCTCTCTCTCTCTCTCTATAGCAATGGTGGCATAGGCTACTTTTTTTGGCTTGAAGCCATGAACAAATGGAATCAATTAATGACGACGTAGATCAACAATCTTCAGTCAGTCACCAAGATCTAACCAACTTATATCTTAGCATAAATTCAAAGGATTTAAAGAAAAAAAGTGACGAAAAAAAAGTCTATATAGGAATATCCTGTTGTGTTTGCTTTAGGATGGACTTCAAAGTTTTTAAATTTGCATCAAAGATAGTGCAACTCTGGATATCATATGCAGCAATAATCTCATCCTAAATCCAAAGACTTTGATGTCTATGAGGTGTCAATATTTGACACGACTTAAAAATCCAACTTGAATCTGACCAGATTTCGAAACAGGTTGGATTCATGTTGACCCGAAAACATGATTCATGAATTCAACCAGCTTTTGACCTTTTGGAAAAACACGCCATGTAAAGTCCTGTCAATGTCCCATGAATCCCATTGTATCCCAATTTCCTCGCCGAGTCGTAGTCCCGCGCACCGGTTCGTAGGACAATACCTCAATCAAGCTATCGTCACCTGTGCTATCGCCTGCCGGCGCCATTGTCTACATCATCACCCGCCTGCATTGTCGCCTCCCTGCACCATCCTCCTCCTTCAAAACGAGTTTGCCTTGGCGCCCTCGCCCTCGCACTCGCCCTCGTCGTCCGCCGTCCAAAAAAGTGTGTCCGCAGGATGGGTCAGGTCAACTCCGCAACCCGCGCTGGTCAGTTCGGGTTGACCCGGCTAGTGCAGAATGAGTTTTGGGTTCAACTCAAACCCAACCGGCCGTGTCCCTATTTTGACAGCCCTACCCCATCCTATTGCAATAAATTCCCAAGTAATTTTTTCATTTAAAATTCATACCTAAAATTTTTCCTATGAAGCTATTATATATTGTAGGACTCAAAGAATAAAAAATTTTAATTTGTTTGGAGTGGCTACAACTTTTTATAAACTTAGTTATGAAGTTAGAGTGGAAAAAAATAACACTAGCTATTTTGGTTGGAAAAATAACTTCCTATTACGAAAGCTACTGGAAAACAGTGAGAAAAATAAAGCAAAATAATAGTTAAATAAAATTATAATTTTTAAAAAAATTAAATTTATGATTGTTGTCTAAAAGATGCATCAAAAGCTCTCCCAAACAGACCATTAATGTTGGGGAAAGTAGGAATTCCTGAGTCATATGCATTATTAGGTTGTTTCACTTCAAAAATTTGGAATCACATATAGGAATTTTTATAATCAACGCAAAGTTGAAGAATAAATATTCTCTTGTGACATTCTAACAACCCACTCCTCTATTTCTAGTAATTATGCCTGAAAAAATAAAGAATATTTCAGCATATTCTAATATTTATTACTTCAAAAAGAATTTAAAAATTATTTCATATATTTCGAGTTAATACATTATAAATACTTTATATACAAAAAAACCTTTAAAAAAACAATAATTTTTAATTTAGCAAACATAATTTATATTGAAATATTCTGATTTGTTTATCTTTAAAAATAAATTTAAAGAAATTTATGAAAGAAAGTGGTCGATATTACGTGTATCTGAGGTGGAACGGATATTGACTATTGACCCATAGCCTAAAAAATGGGTCGTCAACTTTTACTAGGTTGGCTGGATTAAAATTGGGGTAGAATAATCTTTTTTAATTTTTATAAGAATAAATTTATTTATTGATGAATTTATTTTGAAATAAGTTTTGTTACGTTTTTAAAAAGTTTGAGTTGATAGAATATGTATTTTACATCTTAGTATTATATAAAAGGTCAACACTTAGAGATAAAAATAATAAGATCAGAAATTTTACATGAAAATTTTAGAAAAGGAAAAAAATCATAGGCCTCATCCAGTTTAAAAATCCAATATATATCAAAATATATAATAATCCTTCATTCCTTGGAGTCGAAAAAGAAAAGGATTATTTGAGGATAAATTTTTTAATTTCTCTTATGGGAGTTGATAGAAATCAAATTTTTCAAATGGACAATTAAGCTTAATTTTTCCAATAAAGATTATAGAAAGTAGGTGTCCGCTTGCAGACAACTATACTCAACATATAGTTAAATCTTATTAGAATTCTGAAGATGATTGTGATTACTAACGATGATCGTTGGCAATGATGGTGGTTATTGGTAACAATAATTGGTGGTGATAGCTGATTGCGATTACTAACAATGATCGTTGGCAACGATGGTGGTTATTGGTAGCAACTGTTGGTGGTGATTGCTAGAAAATATTAGAGAGCTCTCTAATTCTCTCATTTCTTCTTCCCCTCATGTACAACGTGGCACTTTTTTTTTAATGGACATTTTGATAATTTGAGCTAGAATACAAAACACTCCATCGTACGACTTCAATTCTCTTAATTATGAAGTATTTTTTCTGCATTTAAGTGCCTTAATGATATTAGAATCGAGTCATCTTGGGCTCGTTGGATTTGTCTCGCCGAGCACTTGATTCGATTATAAGCATGTCAAATTTAGAATTCATATAATCATTATTCTAATTTTTAAACTTTTTAATTCAAAGATTTCCTCTAGGGGTGTCAATTCGAGTCAACGGGACGGGTTCGGGTCCAACCCAAGTTGACCTAGGCGTAAACAGGTTGACCTGAACTCGACCCGGCTAGCGACGGCTGAGGCGAACGACTTGATGTCCTCGAGGACCTCGACGAGACAACTGAGGCGGACAATACAGTAGCACCGTAGCAACGTAGCCCGCGCTAGATGGCTGCCTGGTTGGCATGACGCGACAGTCGTGAGTCGCGACTAGATGTGGAGGCTACATGCCGTAAGTAACTAGGTAAAATCGGGTTGTCTCGCAGGTTTTCGGGTTAATCCAAACACGACCTGTTTTTCAAACGGGCTAAAAATCTGAAATCGGACCTGACTCACTTCACAAATGGGTTGACCCAAACTCGAATTTTTTGGGTCAAGTCCGAGTCGGGTTTCAGGTCAAGTCAAGTTTTGACACCCCTAATTACCTCAATATTCTTTCTGATCATATGATTTTTCTAGAGTTACATCATTTGCTCCCTATTTTTGGACTTTGAAGCTTATTACATCAATATATATATATATATATATATATATATATATATATATATTTTTTTTTTTGTAATTTTTTTCTTTATTTTTTTCTTCAGATTTTTTTATTTCAGATTTTTAATATTTTTTTATTTAAATATGTAACTCTCTTCTTAATATCATGCAACACTTTTTCTTAAAATTGCACTATCTTCTATAAAATCATATAACTTTCTTCCTTAAAAGTTATGCAGAGTCATGTAACTATCTTCAAGAAAGTCACACAACTGTTTCATTTCAAGTTATGTAACTCTCCTCTCCCTTCAAATATGAATATCCCTTTATGGAGAAGAAATTTGCACTTCTCTTCTTTAATCTTCTCTTGCTCTCTTTTTTTCTTCATTTCTTCTCACAATAGAGGCATTCAACTGTCTTGAATAGACGGTATCTCCTTTCAAGCACTAGTTCCCCTCTCTATAGAGAACAAGTTGCTATTGTCCCATTTTCTTCTCAATTTCTTCCCACAAGAGAGGTATTCCACCATCTTGAATAGGCGTTATCCCATTTTAAGCTCCAGTAACCTCTCTATAGAAAACGGGTTGCCTTTTTTTCTCACAGCATGTCCCATAAGTATTGAAAATTTTTTAAACACTCTTTTGCATAACTTTTATTGATTTACTCAATTATAGATAATTTATTTAGCATTTAAATGTCACATCAGTATTATAATTAAGCAATCTTAGACTCGTTGAATTTCTCCCATTGATATGCTCAATTTGACTATAAGCATACAATATTTTAAGATTGTTTGGGCGTCTAATCAATTATAAGAAGTTTTTAATTGTGCTTTAAGTGTCCAATATAAGCTCATTCTAACTCAACTGGATAGCTATTGGTATATGTTGCAAACTGGAACAATCAAAATGTTAGAGATATAAAGAGTATAATATTTTAACTTTGAACTAATATCCAACACACATACAAATAAAGATAGAATGGTATAGTAATATTAAGATACACTATAATTTTTACTTGAAAAAATCTAAAAAAGAGAAAAAAATCATGGGACCTTGCTTAGTTGAAATAAATCCACTAGTTTGTAGTTGATTACAAATGAGGTTCTACCTCTGGAGAATGCCTTAGCTCAATATAACAAATATAAATCATAGCAAACACATTACATGGTTGGAGTTAGAAGAATCCCTTGATATGAGAGTTGTTCTTAAGATAATGTTGGCATGTATGTTTGATCAGTAAGATCGTAGCGCGGGCAAAGAAGATTAGAGGGACTGTAGTCAGACTACCGAAGAAGATTCAAGGGACCATAGTCAAGCGATCAAAGGAGGTGGGAGGGATCGTAGATGGTGAGCGGCGATGGTCAGAGGGATTTTAGTGGGCGAGGGACTATGGTCGAATGGACCGTAGTCAGTGGGCAACCGTGGTTGAAGGGACCATAATCGATGGGTGATGAAGGTCGGTGAGATTGTATTCAGCGAGTTGTGGTCAGAGGGACCATATTTGGTGGGTGACAGAATTCATAGGGATCATACTCGACGAACAACATTGGCGGGAGGGAAAATAGTCGGTGTTGAGATGATATTGAATATAGTTTTAGGATTTTACAATTTAAGTATACATTGAGATCCATGCATGATTAAGACTATTTTATAAAAGAATCAACAATTTTGCTCAACAATTAACAAAGCTACAATATTTTTTTAAAAAAAAAAAGTTTAAATAAATGTATTGATTTAATAAACACAAATTTATATTATTATATAACTTCCGCAATAATATTATGGCTCCGTAATTTAGGGGATGTTGGTGAGAATTTGAGCATTATTGTCTAACAATTTGCGAATTAATTGTTCAACAACTGGTCACTTTATACGCCATTCTATTATTTCTATCTAGCGCGAATTCCCGGCATCAGCTTTCAGCGAACCTGGATGACCGGCGACGGATTTATTTCTTCAATATTGTTTCGTATGAAATTTTGTTCAACAACAGGTCACTCTTTTTATATTAATCCTGCGTAAACTCGCTTGCACGTTGCAGTTAACCTAGATGACCGATGATAGCAGGTCAGCTTCTTTACGGAAGTAACTGTATATAGCCAAATACTCTGCAGGGTTTAACGATCTAGCTTTAAAATGTTCCGACATCTTCCCTCCTCCCCACTCTCTCCCTCGTCTACTCTGCAGAGAGAAAGAGAGAGCCCCCGTTGTTCTTTCAAAGCTCGGGGATCTCAAACCACTCGATCGGAGAAGCAAAGTAGCGGGAGAAGAAGATCGGAGGAAATGAGTAAGTCCGGTGGCCGTGATTGGATGCAGATCTACTCGATCTACGGCACCGACGAGTGGCAGACGATTGGATTCCTGTTCTTTCACGCCTTCGTCTTCATCATCTCCTCCCTTCTCCTCCTCCTCTACTTCTCCCCTTTTCTCTCCTTCCTTCACTCTCTCCTCCCCTCCCTCCCAACCCCCTTCCTCCGCTTCGCCGCCGGATTCTCTGGATCCGTCCTGGCCCTCTCCGCCCTCTGCCTCCTCTTCGCCGCCGCGAACATTATGTACTCCTCCGTCCCCCTTCGCTGGATCATGGCCCAGCGCATGATCTCCACCGTCCCTGACTGGTCCGCCGTCCGTACAGCGCTCGATGTCGGCTGCGGCCGAGGCATACTCCTCAACGCCGTTGCTCTGCAGCTCAAGAAGCAGGGAAGCTCCGGTCGGGTTGTTGGCCTCGATTGCCGCCGCGAGATCGCCGTCGCCGCACTTCGTCGCGCCGGCGCCGAGGGAGTTCAGGAGTACGTTACTTGCCGCGAGGGCGATGCCCGTCGTCTTCCCTTCCCCGATGGATACTTTGATGTTGTAGTCTCCTCGATTCATCTCAGCGGAATCGGACGCCGGCCGGGGGATTCCCCTGCGGCGGCTGCGGCAGAGAGGGGGAGGGGATTGGGGGAGATGATTAGGGTTTTGAAGCCCGGTGGGGTGGGTGTAGTGTGGGATTTGATATTCGTTCCGGAGTTCACTCAGAGGTTGAAGGAGATGATGATGGAAGAGGTTAGGGTTTCGGAGAGGGTCACGGCGTATATGGTGAACAGTCATATGGTTTCATTTCGGAAACCAATGGATGAATTCCTGAACGGGGCGGCGCCGCCTCTAGACTGGAGGGCTAACATCTGCTAAAAGTTTTCCAGCGGACAATCAACGGTGATCGGTACTCTCTCTCTTTCTCAATTTCTCCTTTCAGTCATCACCTACTATCCTATCTCGCCTACTACAACTGTGAATTATCTTACTAAGTAGTGCTGGGTTAGGCTTAATAGATCTATAATCTATATTAAGAAGAGAATTATATCGCCTCAAATCAATGGAGGAATGTAATTCATGATATGTTACTATGTTAGTATGAGCTTGAATTTGTATTTTAATCTATTATTATATTATATTATGCAATTGTTACAATACAGATTTAGCATATAAATGTACAGAGGAATACTGTTCAAATATATAGATCTGCTCGTTAGAAAATCGTCAGTAAAATTCTTCGGATATTATTAGAACAAAGGGATTAATTAGCTGTGGGATATTTACGTTTTTTAGTAGCTAAACTTCCCCCTTTTGGTGCACTGTAATTATTGGTGCCAAATCGGTTATTTAATTTCTTTTAATGTAAATTTAAGCTTAATAATAATATACACGCAATCAGTTATGCTATCTAGCTGTAGAAGAGCAAATAAATTATGACTGTCCTCTTTATGTAAATTAATGGCATTTCTATTAAGGGGGTTCTTCCCACATTCATCTGTGTGAATTAATTTCTATTTGTTAAGAGAATTGTATATTTAATTTATGATAAGCTTTTTAAATTGAGATCTATGATCTTTAGAAGTTTGAATTAGGTGTTTTATTAGATTTTGTGCAAAAAAATTTGAGACTTTTTTATTATTTTGATGATTATATATAGTTATTCACTTTTAGCTCCTAAAGTGAAATACAAATTTGATTGGTTAGATTATGTGGTGATTCTCATAAAATACAAAAATATTATAATCCAAAATATTGAAGGAAACCTTCTCATAGTGGCGTTCGGCCTGCTCAAATTTTCTTATGTATAAACTCAGGGCGAATTATTACGTTTGGTGATCGGACGTCCGGACATCCAATCCAGACGCATCACGTCACCCAAATATACTGGGATCCGGTGTATTTGGTGACATGGTGCGTCTGATTGGTGTCCGGACGAATCTAAACACTGGACGTAATAATTTGCCCAAACTCAGAGAGTCTTCTTGCGCTGCTATGCAGACCGAAGAAAATGACCAAAATAGACCAAAAAATACGTGTCGCAATTGCAAAAACCAAAAACATGTGTCTCAATCGCACAAAAAAAAAATAAAAAATAAAAAAATAAAAAAAAAAAGAAAAAAAGAGAGAGAATGTCATCTCTTTTTGTGTCATTTTTCTCGTCAAAAATTGCAATTCTCTATTTTGTTTGTAAGCAGTGGGAGCCATAAATTTTGTATAAAGGGCCTAAATTTCTTTTTTTAATTTCTCTTAATTTTTTTTATCTGATCTTGTGCCCAGCGTTAAAATTTCAAAATTACAAAAAAAATTAAATATTAATTATAAAATAAAAAATATTTATAATTTATAATGTCTCTTTTTCATATTTAAAAAAAAAATAAATAATAACATTATTATCAATACAATTTAATATTTCTTTTCAGTATGAACTAATAAAATATAATTTATGCACTGATCTCATATTCTATTTTATAGTCGAGTTTTTATGATCGTCATTACAAAAAATGCTCTTTCAACTTCTACTATTGTTGCAAGACTAAAGTTAAGTTTAATAGCTTGAAAATAAGAGAATATAACGTATTCTTCTTGTTTTGTATCCCTATCTCAGCAAGAAATTCAATATCTTTTAACAAATTGTAAGCATAAAGCCCTGTTATTCAACGTGAAGAAAATTATTATAATTTAATAAATTTCAACCTCATTTTAATACAAATTTGATTAAGTTATCCTCACAATGTTTTTTCGATTAAAAATGCTTTGATATCAAAACCTTGAACTTCTGTTTGTTAAAAGGGTCGTTATCGAGTGTCTATTATCATATAAGAGAGCACTAAGATTCTGATGTCAGTTTAATCTGCAATAATTATTTATTTGGCTGTTAGTTCTCTCATCACTACGACTTTATATCACTTCAATGAAAAATATATATCTTTTTTATTCAATCACAGCTTATTCTAATTGCTGGTTAGTATAGTTAATTTGACCTAAGAACATGGTATCTACATGCTAATGAAATATTCAATCATCTACCTAATATTTGTTGACTTTCACCTAGAAATTAATGACTTTAATATCTAAAATATAGGAGAAAAAGAAGAAAAATAATTGAAAAAAGGCTAATCTTTACCGACACCAAAACTAAACTGATAAAAGTTAAGAGGAAAAAAAAAGATTAGAACATCTTAATTAAGGATCTATTTAGGACGATTTTATGAGATAACCTTTTTTTATTTTAATTTTATGAGATATACCTTAATTTAGATAGGATTGATTTAGGGTTTATCTGGAATATATGCAGTGTTTTATAAAGAAAATTCTGAATCTGTTGCATGGAAATTAATTTTATGAAAGTATATGTGGATAGTATAAATATAATTTTAAAAAAAATTAAATAGCTACTTTCTTAATGCTATCATATTTGACTTCGTTTTGAGACGGCTTTCTTAGTATTTCTTAAAGTGGCTTTTTCGTGCAAAAATTAAAATATTTGTACTAAAAAGCTGTTTTAAAAAACAATAAGAAAGCATTAATTAAATAAATTTGATTCTACAAAGGAGCTTCTAGTCACAAAAATTAATAAAAATAGTGAAAAAAAAAAAAAATTATAAGTCAAACCGAAGTGTACTTCCATGCTTCCTTTGGGACATTTTTTTTATTAATTTCTAAAGAAAATTTTTAGTATAAAAATTAAATTTTCATACTATAAAACCGTTTTAAAAAATAATAAGAGGGAAGCCCCAAAATAAATGCTCAAACTGAAAATAAAGAAGTTAGAAAATTAAAATCATTAGATAATTAATGGTTGAATCAGTTATAATTTATGATATTTATCTCAGAATTTATATTGCTCGGACAATGATGAGGCCTTTGAATTTCTGATCAACCAAACATTATTTTAATCACAATTTATTAAAGGATTGTGGTCCTCTGTTATCCATTCTGAGCAATCAGTCTTACCGAACTCCTTTCCTGTTCATCCGAATCTAATGTGAATATAAAAATAAAATATAGGACCTATATATTTTACGTGAAAAAAAAATGATTAAACATAATATTCTGTACTCTTTTATAACCACGCTAATATTTTAATATTTAAAAGTTGTCTCATTTATTTGAAGTTTTGCAATCAATTTTGTATTATTGGGCTGATAAAGTAATCTTTATTTTTATATATTAATTTTTTATTTGATATTCTATGTGGTGTATTATGATGTGCTCATAGCAAATTCTTTGAATTATTAACTATTAAGTTAGCACTAAGTGGGTGAGGATTTGAAATATTTACTATTTTTCTCAATCTACCTCATTATCAGCCCTCTTTTTTACAACTTCTGATATATTGTTGGGATATTTATTACATAACTTCAAACGGTCATATGTGACGTTTACGAGAGATTACTACGTGTGGTGTTCGGGCACAGAGAATCGTTCGGTTTTGTGACTGTAAATAGTAAAAGCATAGTTATTGTTCAGCACTATGCTTTTATTGTTCACAGACATAAAACCAAACGGTTCTTTCTGTCCAAACTCCACACGTAATAATCTCTCAAAGTTTAGAGGCGTTCATAGTGCAGATGATGAAAGAGTTGTTGTAAGGCTTTTCGATCTTCCACGGTTGAATATATTATAAGTGTTATCAAGAGCATCTGCCCAACAAGCGAAAGAACAGGCTTAAATTAATATGAGAATTTATGCAACATAAATTACTTAGGATTAAATAAATTTTATTTATGCTCATCAACCAAGAGAAATTTATGTGGCGTATTTTAAATATGCATGCCTTGCATTATTAATTTTCATGAATTTGTATTAAAATTTATTTGTATATATTATCCAATGTTTATATTCTAATCATAAAATATAATGTTCTTTCAAAACCCATATTAAGCAATGAATAAGTTGCAATAATCTATCGATCATTTTCTAAAAAATGAAAGATCTCATGCAATTCAAATAACGATAGAGCTTTACTTACGGACTATTTGGTTGGGTAAAAAAAGGAATTTAGTATAAAAGAAATACTTTGAAGTTATTTGGATAACTCTACAGTAAATTCATGTGAATGATTTTTTTATTTAATTTGAAGTAAAATAAATGCAATCTAAAATTTAAAAATAACTGTCGATTGCGCGTCTCTGCATTAAATGAGGGTGGTGGTCGGCTGCGGACGGCGACGACGGTGGTGGCTAATGGTGGTGGCGGTGGTGGGTGGTGGGTGGCGAGTGGCAATGGTGATGGTGATGGTGATGGTCGGTGGGTGGCAGCTATCAAGCAAGATTTTTTGTTGTGTAAAATGTTCTCGCTCAAAACCGAGCTAGTTTAATTCAACTAAAAAATGAATTAAAATGTTTTACACTATATTTACTTTGCATTCATTTTTTCATTCAGCTGCATTTTCAATATTGATATATCATAAAAAATTAATCATGCCCAGGCACAAATCTCTAGGCAAAATCAAGTTGAAAACTCTCGAAATTAAATCCGGAATCATCTGAACTTTGATTTCAACAAACTTATAGTTGAACTGAACATCTCGAAACGACGAACCCAACGAAGTCGAATGCAACCCAATATGAATCCAAATATGTCCAAATGAAAACCCAAAGCTCCTTTGGAAGGTTCAAATCATAAATTGAATGGTCAAATGAATTCCAAACATGACATGATTATAGTTGAATCGAACGACCAATCAAGATGAATCCAATGAGCCCAAGATTGTTGAATTTTAATGTCATTAAGACAAATAGTCGATAAACGATCCATGATCAAGGGAGTCAATATCGGTCATCAATTCAAAATACTTCCAACATGTCCTTGATCTTCTCCATGTTTAATGATCATGCCAATGAAGGAGGCCCAAGCAATGAAAAGAAGGAAGATAGAAATGTTAGAGAATAAGCTAGTTTGAATATATCTCGTTTTATGTATTTACCTCTGTACCATCATATATGTCTATATATATACTCTTCTGTAATCACATTAGCTAGCATTAATAATACTTTCTACTTTCTTTATTCAAGTGTCTGCCTCCCGCTCTTTCTCTCTCAGTTTCCATCTTCTTCTTCCTCTATCAAGAAAAATCTGAATTCTCTTGCAACAATATTCCTCCTCCTCGACCATATATTGCCGAGTCACTAATCGTCGTTGGACTATCGATGAACTTCTACCTTGTCATCG